AACCACTGTTAAACGTCGTAATGATCGACCGGATTCGAGGTGATTGGAAACATCGAGAAGCAGCATCACTTTCGCATGTCAAGATGATATCACAAATGTACTTATTTTTTCTTGTTTTTTAATGATGTTGCACATGTCATGATGTCTATAAATTAATTACGCTTATCTCATGATTGCTTGCATGAGATGTCATTTATTGAAAATTTTGATTGATGAAAAACGATAAAATGCAGTAATATATATAATAAAATGTTTTAATATATACATTTAATATTAATATTTTTATTTTTATAATATTATTATTAATATTATTATTATTAATATATACATTTATTGATAGCTAGAACATATCTCTTAAATAAAACGTGATGCCTCCCTCCTTTTCTCCCTCCCGCCTTTCTCTTTCCTCTCCCCCCTCCCACTCTCCCCCTCTTTCAACCTTTTTCTGTCTCGTTCTAATAAATAACGATTATATTCGATTCCATTCCGTTTCCATGTATCTTTATCTCTCTCCCTTTTACGCACAGGATCAAAAATATTTATTGGACATGAAGGTTTCCTCTCTCTTCATGCTTTTCGATAAAATCCGCCATATTTGGCGGATGTAGTCATAAAACATGGAAAATAGGGTACTGTGTGTAAACCGAGATGGAATATTTAATCGAATATTATACGAACAAGAGAAGGATTCCGAGAAGAGAGGGGCGAGGATTCGCTTTTTTTATTCCGCGGCGAGCGGACGAGCAAATGCGATCGAGGAAAACGTGCGTTGGGCGTAAATTCGCAAAAGAACAGAATCGCGTCGCGAACCACGAATAAAAAACGATATCGATGAGTACCGTTCGCGCAAAAGCATCTCATTCGCTATTCTACCGAAGATGCAAACGCGCTTCACTATAATTAATCAAAGCGCGGATCTGGAGGATCCAATTAGCGGCGAGCGCGCTCCATTCGGAGACCGCTCGAGAGAGCTACCACGGCCTCAACGAGAATAGAGAATAAGGGGATAGAGGACGCATTAAAGTTCAACCGAAAGGCACTAGTCGTGCAAATACGGCCCGTTGATCTTAAGCGGGATCCACAGTTGTCGATTCGCACATTGTCATTATATTAAATTTATCAGTAACAATTATGTACGTTTTAATCGCAGTATTATAACTATTTATTATAACTATAACATAGTTGTTTATTATAACTATATTACAATATATTATATTATAACTAACACTGTAACTAAATAAAAAATATAATAATAATAATTGCTAAGAAGCATTGCAGTACTTGATTTGTGATAGTTCGCAGTTAAATTTATTGCATTGATGAACCGTTTTGTTCGGATGCAATTATATTAGAGAAATTTTGCTTCTTCTCATATAGAGTCGCCAGTAGTTAAACGAAACCAATACTTAGCCAACGCTACGACTATCAACTAACAACCAAGGTTCTGTCAACCAGCATTGGGCCATCATTGACAAATAACTAGCTGTCAAATAACAGCTAAAGTGCTGTTAGCCAGTACTGGACCATCACTAACTCAATAGCTGGCTGATAAAGGACGGCCAAAGTTTTGTCAACTAGTATTGGGCTATCACTGGCAAATGACTGGCTAAAATAACTGGGCCAGTACTGAGCCCAAATTATCACCCACTACTTAGCCAGTACTAGGCTAGTAGTTTGCTAGTACCTGAATTGTAGCAACCAGTAATGGCCCAGCATTGGGTCGATTGTAAAACAATGAGTTGTTTCTGATATCATTTAATATATTATATATTTAAATTGATTGATATACTTTAACTAACCTTAATTCTCTGTTTACAGTCCAGATCTTTTTTGCATAAGCGAAATTTCACTCAAATTTCTTCCTCATTTTTCTTCCGATTTTTTAAATAAAGGTTTTAACATTTAAGAAACTATTTAGTAATGCAATAGAGAAATAATGTTAAAAAATAAACTGAAAATTTTTTTTACCTTTTTTTTGAATGCCTACAATAGTAAAAAAAACTTAGACTAAACAAAAAAAGCAGAGTTGGAAACGTATTTCATAAAAATAACGCGCTGTCGTTAAAAGTATATTTATTGAATAGACATAAATGTAATATTGAAGTAACGATAAAAGTAATGAATTTGATACCATTACTAAAAATTGCCATTACAAACAGAATAAAGTAAAACCTATTCTACAATTGTAAACGTAATTATAGATTGTAGTTGTAAAAATTGACTAATAACAGTCGAATATGAAGAAAATATTTGACTGTAATTGGCCAATGCTTACAACTATAATCACTTATAACTACACTTACGCAATTGTAGAATTTACAATCGTTATAAAGTAACGATAACGGTAACGGCATTACGAGTAAAGCATTACTCATTGAGAAATCCTGTAAAAAAGTCGACTGTAAACGGAGGTAGTAAAAATATGATTGCAGAATACCTGTTTCGACAATACAATCCTTAACGTGAAATAATTCACAAAAAGTTAATTTGTATTCCTAATGTTCTGTATCGAACAGAAAAACAATTTTCATGTGTTCAAATATTAATCAAATGTTCAGAATATTATATGAATACTTCTTGTATATGTATTATATGTATATGTATATGTATATATGTAATATATCATGAAAATCATTCACCCGCGAGTAATACACATCCTCGTCGATATGTTAATTTGTAAATAAGAATCACATGAAAAAGAATATATAAAAAGCGCAGCGGTTTGCCTAAAGTAAGCCCCCAAAGTTGGGCTCCAAAATGAAAATAAATACTTTTTAAAAGTAACTAATTACTGTTACTCATTAATAAATACAAAATTAAAAGTAACTCGTTATTGTTACCTTAAAAAATAATAGCTATTTATTTTTTCGTTATTTTTTCATTTTTAATAAGTTTTTTGTTTTAAAATAAGATAAGTCTAAAAAAGTTTGTAATACTTTTTGTTTAAATATTGAAATTGATAGAACAACAATAATGACATTAGATATGTGAAAACACAACTAAGGAAGAAAATGTTTTCTCGATTCGATTTAAAGCTTTGTACATAATATATTTCAGAGTGAATTTATATATATATT